CAAGGCTGCACTATTGTTTCCCAACTCTTCTTCCCTTGTCTCTATACCCTCTCCCTTCCCTAATTAGCAAATATTTGAATCTGCCCTTTGGCGCTCAGGGAAGGTCAAAGAGGCTGATTGAAGCCTATTTCCTACGAACAAGAAACAGGGAACATGGAAAGATTTGTACCAAGAAAGTCCCCACAGAGTCCTGCTCAGTATCACCTCCAGTTTGAAAAAGCGTTTCTGGTCTGTTGCCGAAAGATCAGCCCCTGTGCCTGACGAGCCATATAACCCAGAGACAAGGTCTTGGAGCTTAGAAGAAATGAGGCAGCTTTATTGCTTTGCCGGACAAAGGGGACTCACAGCATGCTAGAGCCTTCAAAACTGTGAACCCCCTTGGGATGGGGTGGGTGGTTATGTAGCCATAGCTCGATCAATAAAGCATTGATAACAAGCAACAGAATCATTTTCTGAATCAGAAGACTTAGAATGACGTCAGGATGCCTCCAGGCAACCAGTTCTGTAGAGGCCAGCGGCTGTCACTTTTTCAGTCCCTTTATCTCGTAAGCACTCAAGCTGTGGTCTTCTTGGTATTTAGCCTACTCTGTAAGGTTACAGTTCTGTGCCCTTCTCCCTGGAGATCGCCCCAGAGACCAGGCATGATTATAGCTTCTGATACTGGAATAAAGTAGAAACACTAAGATCAACAGCTTTAGTTTGAACAGTGGGCCTGGAGCTGTGAGTAGCAACTGGTCGGGTCAGTCAGGTCAGTTGACCGTTTTAAGGGCAAGCATAAGAATAAGCAAGCTGTTAGCCTCAGTGCGGCCATTTGATTAACCCTCCTTCAGATCCACAAAATGCTCACCAGTTTTCTAGCTACATGCAGGATATGAATCTCCATGTCTCATCAACTCATCTGCTAAATAAGATTTCCAGAACATCTGCAAGGAAGGGTCTGGAGTTTCAGCTCACAACCACTGCCAGGGAAGCAGACCCTACATTTAATTGTTTGTGTTTCCTATTGCCTGTGCAGAACTTCTTCCACAAGCGTGCAACCTGCTAAGGTAGCAAGGACGGCCTCTTTGTTGGGACTGTTGTCCTGAGGCCCGGAGTGAAGAGCGGGGCTTCTGCTCCTTCCTGTTGGGAGGTTGGAGCATCCACAAACATCAGATAAGGGTGACCTGACAAGGAGACACCTCCTCCGTGGTAGCTACTGGTATGAAGTAGGACCAGGTATACCAACAAAGGCAGCATCTGGGGGAAAGAAATGTTCAGAAGTCTTAGTGTAGGATCTCTCCACAAGGTGAAAGCCATAGTTTATCTCTGATTTTGATCACAATCCTGATGGGAAAAAAGTGCCATTTTATACTCTCAGGGAGTTAGCAAGCCTGGCTGCTTTGTGAGTTGTGTGTCCGACACAGGTATCAAATTTCACGCTCAGCATTTCTGAAACGCGCTCCTCCCCGGGACAGTAGGACTGCATCTTAGGAGATCATCACGGAGGGGAGCCTGTGTTTCGAGCAGGAAGGACATGCCTGGTGGCCAAGGCTGAAACTAATTAATGCCAACAAGGTTATCATTTCACTTAGAGAGTAAATACAGAGTATCAGTTCTGACCTCTGCAGGCTGCAACTACTTGCATTTACAGTGGGACTAGCTGTCTGACGAAACCGCTAGCCCCTTAAAAGGGGCTTGACTGGCAGAGCAGTGACAACAGGGGCCAGCGTGCCCTGTGAGCGGGACCCTGACAGCACCATAGAGCTTCCATGGGCTGTCCCAGCCACAAAGACAGTGGAGGTGCCCCAGCAGCCTAGGAATTATGCTGAAGACATTTTCCTGCCCTCTGTCTCTCATCCTTACCTTTTCTCTTCAGGTGGGGACCTCACCACCTTCCTTCCCTCCTCAGCCCTCGCCCCCCTCCTGGCCCGCACTAACCCAATTAAAATTCAGCAGAGGTAGAATCTCCTGTACCTGCTATTTTTACAAGACCTCCTTGATTGACTAACGTGAACTCATTAACATTGATGCGTTACCTTAAATAAGCCTTTGTCTCTTTGCCTTGCGAAAGTTCTTTTCTTTGTTAAAGAAATGTCAGGCATTAGCAAGTACCGAAAGGCTTGTGGGAGGGAGCTGGACGCCTTACCCAGCCCTGAATAGAAAAGTGAGCCAGTGTCAGGGTTATAGGCACCCCTGCCCCAAGCTGGCCCCCTTCTCTCGAGATGTTAGTTATAACTGCTGGAGGTTTAGTTCCAGCTTTCCCAAGTCTGGTGAAAAGAGCACAGCTCTAAGGAATAGACAAAACTGCGTTCAGATCTTCAAACTGCAGTTTTTCTGGCTGTGCAATCTTGTGCATTTTACCCCAGAACTTCAATCTCTTTATAAAGTGGG